GTAGGGTGGGCAGTTCTGTTAGTAGGGTGGGCAGTTCTGTTAGTAGGGTGGTGTGTCATTTTTGGATAATACTTGAGAAAACACTGCATTCATGTGTTTATTTCCATTCAGTTTGATTATTACAGTATGTTTTATAGTTTGTTGAGTAGGGGATGGATAAAGAACCCATAGGAGCGGGGGCCTCGTAAGTGGACCCATTGCTCCATTATTATGGCTGACAACTAATGAAAATGAAAACATTTCGTCATGATAGACTGACATGGTGAGGACTGCTGCTGGAGTACCACAGACTGTTCCAGGATCTGGACCACAACTGTCCAATTCCTCATGTCCGGCCACCCATGAGCCAAAGACATATTCATAGACGTCTTACCTGTCTTACCTGTGCAGAGGACAAAAAGAACCGGACTGTTGCTCAGTGGAAGTCAGTGCATTTCATTAGAAAATGAAGGTCTCAGAGTCTGGGAGAGGAGTGCAGAGGCATGTTGAGCTCTAGCAGGGATAATCAATTCCGGTCCTGGAGGTCCGCAGCCCTGCATGTTTTACTTGTTTCTCTGCTCCAACACACCTGATTTGAATGAACAGATAATTATCAGGCTTCTGCAGAACTTGGAAGAGGTAATTCCTGACTGAATCAGGTGCGTTGGAGCAGGGAAAAAAGTAAAACATGCAGGGCTGCGGACCTCAAGGACCGGAATTGATGACCCCTGGAAGTTTTCACAGTCACTGATGGTTTGGGGTGCCATGTCATCTGCTGGTGTTGGTTCACTGGCTTTTTTAATCCAGAGCCAGTGTGAGCACTTCATTCTTCCCTCCTCCTACAAGTTTTATGGAGCTGCTGATTCCAGCTGTCCAAAACCTCAGATTATATGAGGCAGTTTAGTATTCAGCTGTAAAACAGTATTATAGTCAGAGTTGCACATAAGCGATGTGCATGCATGATCAAAAAAGAAAATGTGCACCAGATGGAATGTCATAAAGCTCCCTTGCGTACCTAAGATTGTACCTGAGATTGTGAAAACAACAGCTAATGGGGTCGCAAATGTGACCTGATTTCTTAAAAACAAACAAAACAAACAAAAATCCAGCCTCACTGGTTTGACTGGATCGTCGTTCTGTCAGAGGAGGGCAGCCGGGCCCTGATGGATAATGGGTCACATATATGTTCAGAGCGTTGTTATCGAACAGATCTGTCCATCTTTGCGCCTCAGCGCGCGCACGCTGTGAGTCTTTCTGTAATTCACTGTTCGAGTTCTTCTAAACCACATTACCTCTGACAGAAGAACGTTTATTTGCCTCATGTCAAAGCAAAGATGAGTCCGTTTAACGTCACCCCCCAATTCAAAAAAATAAAAATAAAAACTTGCCATATTCTGTGAATGAGTTTTAAATGTTATTTTAATTTATTACAAAGATCCACAAATTTCATTCTTCACAATTTTATCATAACAACAATGTTCTTGATGTGCTAAACATGTTTATATTTAGAATCATACTGTGACACAGCTACTCTGGGATAATGTAATTCAATAAATGATAAAATATGAAGAACAAATCATTTTAAATGATTACATGAGCTGAAACCATCTAAATATAATCATTTTGTATAAAATAGTCTTTTAAAAAATAAATGTATGTTTTAAATTATTTTGCTCTGTGCAAAAGACAGATATTTGCTGCTTGGACTGGAGTGTGGAAAGCTGGTTTAAACAAGGCCGAACTACAGGAGCTGTACATCTCAGGGTCATGTGTAATCTAACACAGTGGTTCCCAAAGTTGGGGTCGGGACACAAAGTGGGGTCCTGAAACATCAAGGTGGGGTCCTGAAACATCAGGGTGGGGTCCTGAAACATCAAGGTGGGGTCCTGAAACATCAAGGTGGGGTCCTGAAAAGGTTTTCTAAATTAATTACATTTTTGCCTTAGTTGCCTAAAATGTATAAATGTAGAATAATAAATATTGTTACTACGCCCAAGTTTAGTTGACCTGATACAAATGTTTATCATCCAAAAATAGTTGGGGGCACAGGTCTCTGCTACTGTTATTTTGTGGGTCAGAAGCTGAAAAGTTTGGGAAACACTGCACTTCAGAAATCAATTTAAAGGGTAATAAAATAATTGGTGATGTAAYATTTTCCCTATAATTATTACAAAAACACAAAATAAGTATAAATAAGTATTTATATTTGTGTAGTCTTTGTTTTTAGGGTTATTAACAAAGTTTGTGTACTCAGACCAGTAACATTTGGGGTCACAAGTTTTTGCCATGAGTATTTTGTGGGTCAGAAGATAAAAAGTTTGGGAACCTCTGATCTAACAGACATTTAAACATGAAATGTTCTGTTTGAGATGACATATGACCATGGGTCAGCCCATTGGACACTTAGGTAGTTTACAAAATTTATGCAGAGTAAAAAAATAAATAAATAAAAAAAACTAATTTGTCATGATGTCCAGAGACATTGCCAACTGATAGGTGTCATAAAACAGAACAGAGTGATAATAAATGCCCAGACACCCCTCTGGAAAAATGTGTTGAATGAGTGAAGGAAAATATGAGCACCAAGCAACAACCCCAGGTTCTCCCCTGAGAACCAGACCAGAAATGTTATGTGCAACCCTGATTATAGTCACCTCAGCAGATGAACATGTTCTTGCAGGTTTCAAGCTGCTGCTGGAGGTGTTCAGTGTGATCCACGGTCCTCAGGAGGAGTGTGTGCGGGCTCTGAAGAACGGTCACCTCCTGGGGATTTCTCCTGGAGGAGTACGGGAAGCTCTGTTCAGTGATGAGACCTACCCTCTTCTGTGGGGCAAACGCAGAGGCTTTGCACAGGTGGCCATTGATTCTCAAGTGGTACGTGCCTTCTCCTTTCTCTTTTTTATACATCAAAAATCATGCTGGTAACAAAAGATAATAAACTGAAACTGAGTTGAAGCTAAACACTCGAAAAAAGACGAACATTAGCTAAAACAAAACTAAAAGTTAGAAGTAAAAAAAATAGCTGATAAAAGTAGCACAAAGCTACCTAACCACTAAAGTTGCAAAATGCTAGCCAAAAATCCATTCTCGTGGCTCCCACTGAACACTTTAAATAATAAATGAAAGTTATTAGCACAGATCTGTCACAGTTTACTTGTCCTGTCCAGTTGTGAATAAATCATTCGTTTTTCTTTTATGTGTCTGGCTGTGTTGTAGTTGTGTATAAACGTCTAAAAGCACAACAGCTCAGATAACCTGTCTGGTTTCTCTCCCACATTTAAAGAATAATCCCCTTTTATATGAACCTTCATCACTTCCTACAACCTGGAGGATGAAAGAAAGAAATGAAGTCATTGTCTATGAGCCGACGTGTCACACGACCATGGCTATTTATTAACAGACTTCTGGAAACGATTATTCATGAAGAGTGTAAGAATTGCTTACACTCTTATAACAAAAGTTATAAGGAAATTATCACAGATTCTCTTCTTTTTAATGGAACTTGTAACTTCCCGGTGTACGTCAGAAGACCACACAAATAAGACAGACTTTAGTCAGCGAATTCAAGTTGATCTAGCAATAAACAAGATCATTTATTTACAGAATCAAAATAAATCACTGATGTACAGCTTGTTGTGTATAATTAAATTTTCTATAAAAGTTTAGATCGAGAACAGTCAACGTGCGTCCACATTAATTACTCATCAATCTGACAACTTTAACAGAGAACAGCAAACCTCAGGTTTTAGATGTTAAATAACCCAGAATGTTTGAAGGTACGTTTAACTTGTGCTGCATTCCAGTAGTCCTGGGAAGTGGTAATTTAACTGGAATACCTCCTCCAGTGGTAATATTCCACTCGTAAAGTGGAAGAAATGAAACTGCCTCCCGTTTTGATTTCAAGATGGCGGCTACTCACAGCTTTAGAAAGTTAACTCCGTAACTTTTACCATTAATTATCTTGATTAATTTTTTGTGCATGTTTAATCACTCGCACAAGTAGTGTGTTTTCTGTGCAATGCTGTACCTATTAAAATCAGTGCTTATTTGCATGATACGTATTAGAGCTCTCTTTTTGTCATTGTTTATATTATAGCAGTGTTGTAGCCAGGTTAGCGGCATCAATACAATCGCCTGTCGGCTAACTGGAATGCAGTTTCATGTGGTTTGTTGGGAAATGATGTCACTACCATTTACCAGTTCCAGGAATATGATGTTAGACTGGCCAGGCAGATAGTTTAAGAGACAGAGTGAAAGGAGGATGTTAGCCCTAACTTCTTAGCTTATCAATATGTGAGGAACCAGAACGAGCACTTGCGACAGCCAGACGCCGGAATGCTTATCAAACATCACGGCAGGGGTCAGGCATTTTAGGAAGTTTCACTCAGGTCAGCATAAGAGTCCAGTCAGGTATCCTTACTTCCAGTAAAAGTTCCAGTGTGTTGATTTACGTCTCCGGAAGTCTGCCTCATTCTGAACAGAGAGTCAAAGCCGATCAGGTCTTCTTTTCAAAATAAAAGACTTCTCAACAGAAGTTTCAAAACAAAACTTAGTGGAGCTTCAAAGCTGGGTGTTTTGGTCACGATTAATGATACCGTGAACTTGTGGCAAAGATCTGGGGTCAGATTTATAAAGGATTGCGTGGAAACCATACTAAAAATGAACGTACGGCCAAAAGAAGAAAATGGCGTACGCCAAAAAAATTCAGATTTATAAAACCGTGCGTACGCATGCTTCACCACATTTTCCCTTTATAAACCACAGCTGTGCATCATAATTTGCGCATAAGGTCCCACCTCAGGTTCAACCCTCTACACGCCCACACTCAACCATAAACAGTCAATGCAAAGTACCTCATGAATGTTAAGATGTATTTAAATCAGTCAGCTGATCAGTGTAAAAAAAAAAGTGATTGGTTCAGACACGCTCCGTCATGCGTCTGGAGGATGACAGGTGCTGACTGACAGCTGCTCACGTGAACAGATTGTCTTTAATTCACACAGATTTTCCCACATTTTGCAGGTTTACAAATGTTTAGAGCAATCTAATTCAATTCAAAAATACTTTATTGATCCCAGAGGGAAATTAGGTAATGATTTATCTAATTAAATTGATATAAATTAAATATCTAAATAATTGATCTAATGATTTATTTCAAAAACTCAGCTTCAAATTAATTTTCTCTCAGAGCCTGCAGGATGATAAAAACAATAAATAAAATAAAATAAGTCAGATAAATTTAAGTTCACCGCTCTTCTGTCCTGTCACTCCCCCTCCTGCCTGTTATCTGCAGCTGACAGTCTCCTCACGCCCACACCCCACTCCACGCGTGTGAGA